CTAGCGGTGAAGAGCCCCTCGACAAGAATGCGGTCCCCAAAGTGGAAGCTAGCGTGGACGAAACCCCATCTACTACTGCTAAAAGCGAAGAGGAGGGTTTAACGACGGTCGCACCAGGAACTGGAACAGCAACCACCACACGTGTTGTCGTAACAGTGGCACCAATAGTCGTCATACCTGTATCTTTATCGGGCACTACAACGGCAAGCAGCCGAACAACCGTCGGAGAAGGGTTCTCGACAACATCTAGTGAAGAAACCAGCGGCGAAGAGCCGCTTAGCAAGAGCAGTGAAGCTACAGCTGTTTCTGGCGAAGTTACAACAAAAAGTGCCATCTCTACCACTGCGAACGTTGGGTCTATGCCTTCCGCGTCCCCAGTTCCTGGCATGGAAGGCGGAGCTTCAACTACTGCCTCTTCTCCTGTTGAAGGCTCCGGATTAGAAGCAGGCGGAGATCACACAACCATGGAAGCTGTTGGAATTTCCATCACAACGCCTCTTACCATTGAAGAGACTGTAGCTCCCAAGGTGTCCCTATCCGAGACTACTACGGCGTCCGCAAGAGATCAGACTGCAAGTGAGGGAACAACGCCTACCTCAGCACCTGAAGAAGCCAGTGGAGAAGAACCGCTTGACAAGAATGCGCTTCCTAAAGTGGCAGCTAGTATCGACGAAGCGCCCACCACTGCTGAGCATACACCTGGAACAGTATCACCTACTTTAGGTACTGCAACTTCTCCACAACCGTCAAGTCCCGAAGGAGAAGAAGCCACCACTTCTGCTGCGGTTGAGAGTACGGCCCCAGTAGTCAGCAGTGAACAAACCACAAAGCTTCCAACATCTTCATCACCCGAGGAAGCCAGCGGTGAAGAACCTCTCGACAAAAGCGCTGTTCCCAGTGTACAAGCCAGTCACGACGAAACGAGTAGTACAACAGCATCTACATCTGAAACCTCAACTAGTCCAACTGAACTGAGTTCTACCGGCCACAGCACTGAGGAGACTCAACCAACTGCAGTATCTGTGGTTGTGGATAGTACTGTGACAGAACCCAGATTGTCTACTACAGCAAAGACAACCTCTTCACCTGAGGAGGCTAGTGGAGAAGAACCTCTTGACAAAAATGCGGCGCCTGAGGTGCAAGCGAGTATGGATGAGACTACTTCTGTGTCTGGTGTAACAAGTCCGAATTCTGGCACGGGATCAACATCTGCTCCAGGCACCAAAGTCATAGTTCCTATAATCCTTGTACCTGGTGGAAGTAAAACATCCGCAAGCACTGAACCTACTACAGGAGAGCAAGCGACAACTCCTTCTGAAGAAGCCAGTGGAGAACAGCCTCTTGATAAGAATGCTCTCCCGGCGAAAGAAGGCGAGGAGGCAACTACCAACCCCGAAAACACACCTGGTACGGCAGTGACCACATCTGGTACAGGTAGTGACGGAATTGAAGTTTCAACTTCTTCGCCTGTAGAAGGCTCGGTGACAAACGGAGGACAATCTACTACGGAAAGTAGTGAGCCGAAAACAACAGCACCTATGGAGAGCAGCGGTGAAGAACTAGACAAGAGCACAGTTGTTACGCAGATCACTCGAGTACTAGAAGTAACATCCACACCATCTCTAGAGAGTAGCGGAGAAGGGCCGATTGTCGGCAATATTCTGCCCAAAGTTGAATCAAGCATCGATGAGGGTACAACCAAAGTCTTATCAACAGATGAACCAGGCAAAACGTCCACAGAGCCTTCGACTGGGGGTGAAACTGAACATTCAGGCGAAGAACCCACAACAAGACAAATACCTTCGGATCAATCCACGACGGCTGGAGAGCACGAAACGACATCTGAAGGACCTACAGCAGAAACTAGCACCGTCTCGATTCCTCCTATCATCCCAATTGTCGGAACCAGCGTGTCACCTTCCACTTCTCACGTAGAAGACAGTAGGCCTAGCACCGTCGCCATTCCTCCCATAATTCCGGTGACTGGAGCGACTGAGAACGAATCAACGACTCCAACTGTGGAGGCGAGTGGAGAAGAACCAGCTGTAAGCAAGACACCAAGTGCTGAAGAGAATGTGAATGAAAGCACCAGCGCAACTCCAACCACAAGCTCAGATAGAAAAGCCAGTACTGAATCTGCTGGTTCGGCACATCCCTCTACACCATCTGAGCCATTAGAGTTTA